GTTGGTGGACCTCAAGTTTCAAGAACATAGATCCCACTAGTCTAAGATCTACCCATGTCTGCAAACTAGACCACACCTACCAACCAGGAAGTTCCTACAACAGTTGGTCTGCAAGTACTTAGAAAAGGATGCTGTGATTACTAAGACCCAGCATAGGTTTCTCAAAAACAAGTCATGCCAGACAAATCTCATTTCTTTTTTGACAATTACACGCTTGGTGGATCAGAAGAATGCTTGGACATAGTGTTTCTCGATTTCAGGTTTTGTCCTGGGCCCGCTGTTATTTAGAAATATGATAAACAACTTGCATGAAGGAATTGAGAGGTTGTTCATTCAATTTGCAGATGACACCAAACAGGGATGGGTAGCTAATACCACTGAAGACAGAATCGGGATTCAAGAAGACCTTAACAGATTGGAGAACTAACAAAAATAATTTCAGCTAGGACAAACATTAGCTTATTCACTTAGGCAGGAAAAAACAGCTGTACAAATATAAGGTGGGGGCTACCTGGCTTCCTAATAGTACATGTGAAAAGGATCTAGGGGGTCTTAGAAGATCACAAGCTGAACGTCAACAGTGTGATGCAGGCAAAAAAAGAGCTAGTGCTATCCTTGGCTGCATCAACAGAATTCTAGCATCCTGATCAAGGCAAGTAATAGCACTGCTCTGTTGTGCCTTGGTTGGACCCCACCTGGAATACTGTGTCCAATTCTGGGCACCACAATTTAAGAAGGACATTGACAACCTGGAACATTTGTAGAAGAGGGCAATCAAGATGGTCAAGGGTCTGGAAACCAAGTCTTATGAGGAAAAGAGGAGCCAGAGGAGATATGATAGATCTTTAGCTATTTGAAGAAGATAAAGCAAGCTTCTTTCATCTTGCTCTGGAGGGTAGGACTGGAACCAACGGCTTCAAGTTACAAGAAGGGAGATTCCAACTAAACATATGGAAAACTTTCTGACAGTAAGAGCTGTTTGACAGTGGAACAGTCTCCCTCAGAGGGTTGTGGACCCTCCTTCCTGGGAGACTTTTAAGCAGAGGCTGGTTAGCTATCCATCACAGATGCTTTAGGTGAGATTCCTGCATTGCAGGAGGCTGGACTAGATAATCCTTGGGGCTGTGCAGAGAAAGAAGGTTGCTGGCTAGAAAACAGCACCAGAAAGGCCTTGGTTCAATTTTCTAGCTTTTGAGAGAGTTTTGCTGAGCCAGATCCAACATACGTTTCCAATACTGTCTCTGGAAAGCCATATGCAGGTGATGCCCCCAGTCGATACACTGCAGTTGAACATGGAGGCTCTGTTTAGGTATGGCTACTAATAGCCCCATATGGAGTCACCCTTCCACTACATTACCTCATTCTTCTAAAAGGATTTCTTGCTCAATCACAAACACTGAGGACCCCCAGTTAATGCCTCTGCTGCCTCAGTTTCCCTCTCTGTAAAAGAAGGCATTAAGGTAATTTTAACCTTTGGAGTTTGCTATTCAGGTGCAATGTATGGAAGTGAAAGCTGGACCATAAAGAAGGCTGATCGCCAAAGAATTGATGCTTTTGAATTATGGTGCTGGAGGAGACTCTTGAGAGTCCCATGGACTGCAAGAAGATTAAACCTCTCCATTCTTATGGAAATCAGCCCTGAGTGCTCACTGGAAGGACAGATTGTGAAGCTGAGGCTCCAATACTTTGGCCACCTCATGAGAAGAGAGGACTCCCTGGAAAAGACCCTGATGTTGGGAAAGATGGAGGGCACAAGGAGAAGGGGACGACAGAGGATGAGATGGTTGGATAGTGTTCTCAAAGCTACCAGCATGAGTTTGACCAAACTGCGGGAGGCAGTGGAAGACAGAAGTGCTTGGCGTGCTCTGGTCCAGGGGGTCACGAAGAGTCGGACAGGACTAAATGACAACAACAATTCAAGTGCAATGTGGTAAGTTAGCCTGTGGCGTTCCTGGCCGGCAGAGACCCTGCTGCTCCTTCTACTAAGTGAGGCACTGAGCATCTCTGCCTTGAAGTCCTACCTTTACGGCATCCCTCCTGCCATGGGAGGGACAAATCATTTGGCACCCTAAACGGAACTCCGGAAGAAGACACTCTTTCTCAGGGATGCTACTCCTGCCTCCAGCCTCTCTCCACACACCCCTTCCCGCGACCCGGGCCCTTTTGTAGTCTTCCTAATGGTCCTCTCCCCTCCCTTATGGCTGCCGGCGCCCTGGGCTTTCAGCTGTATCCAATTAAACGCCCTCCCCGGCCCACTGCAAGCAATATCTGATGGGCTCGGGAGAGCCGCGCTTCCCCGCTAAGTATGGAGGGCGAGCTTTTCGTGGAAGGGCAGCTCCCGGAATTCTCCGTCCTGCAGGATCTGCTCAGCCAGCCCTGCCTGGAATCCGAGGCAAGCAGCAGCCCCGGAGGGCACAATCCGGCGGGCGCTGAGCCAGAAGCCGACGCTCCCAGAGGATCCAGGTTAGCTCCTCTTGACACCTGCTCGTGAGAACGGGGCGAATCCAGATCAGTTGCCCCTAAAGGAGGGAGGATCCGAAGCTTCTTCTAGATCGGCCCCCGGGCACCGGTCCCTGACGGTAGGCAGGAGAATCCAATTTAACTTTAGGAGCCCATGGAGAGCAAGCGAGGGCTGCAGTCTGCGGACGCTAAACTCCGCAGGGTTTACTTTCGAGTCAATGTCCATAAGATCGGACTGTGCGGGCTGATCTATGCGTGTGTCTTGCATGTGCGAAGTCATAGGGGTGCAGGGGAACAGTTGCACCCCCAAAGTCAAATGAATAAATAAAATTTATTAATTAACTGACCGGTTGTCGCAGATAACTCGGTTCTACCTCCCAACATAAAGTTGCCTCCTAAAATAAATCCTGGCAACGCCCATGCTGCTAGGGAATAAATCCCCTTTATGGGAAGATTAAAACTGCTTAGGATCGGCCTGCGAGACCGATTCTTCTCGCGCTTCCTCGAAAGCAAGCCCCCACCTGGGCGTGCCGATGCTTACTCCCAAGTAGCCGCGCGTTCAGTGGACCGGCTTCCAAGTCAGCAAGCATTGGATCCGGCCTTCGGCGCAGCTCCAGGCGCCGGCGTCTGCTCCTTGATCAAATCGGCTAGTGGATCCGACCCGAACTCTGCTCCCAGCCGGAAAAGGCGCCGTGCTGCTCGGGCTGCTCCTTGGCGCGCGCGCTGCCCCGGATCGCCAGCCCGCCAAGCGGCGCGAGCCTCCGCCATTGGCCGAGGACTCGGGCGTGGGAGGGGCGCCTGAGGGGAGAGGCAGCAGGAGGGCGGCTCCGGGGAGGTCAGTCGGGGGGGAGAGGACGGGCGAAGCGGGACGAGGCGCCGCCTCGGCAGGGCTGGTGAGACTGAGGCGCCGGTCCTTGGCGCAGCCCCGGGAGGAGCGGCGGCGGAGGGTCGCCCCAGCTGGGCGGGGCAGGGCGCCGTGGGCCTCCCCCTGGCTCTTTCCCAGGGGCCAGCCCCCCAGGGCGCGGCCTCGCCTCGCCTCAAAACCCGTTGGAAAGGAGCGCGAATGAACAGCTTCCACGAGTCCCTTCCGCCTGAGGGGAAAACCAGCGCTGTGGGTTCGCCTTCTTCCCCAGGTGGTTGTGCTCCAAACTCAGCCGCCCACATTACTCGAGGGATCCTCCTCAGAGTCGAGTTCCCCTTCCCTCTCATGCCCGCCTTCTGCTGAAGTGATCCTGGGAGATACTGTACAATGAGGGCCGTCAAGGGTCGTCTAGTCCTGCCACTAGTGCAGGGCCGGATTGAGGTTTGACGAGGCTCTCGGCTACTGAAGGCAATGGGGCCCTTGATATGTCCAGCTGTCCTTTGTCAACAACAAATTGTCGCTGTGTTTTGGGTTGAATACATGGTAATTTATGGACCTCATCGGTGTCTAAAGGCATTTGCACATCACAGAGTCGCTCCTCGTCCCGCCCCTTCAGCTAGTCTTGGAAGCGGGCAGCTCCGGGCTCGGCTTTTTTAAGACCTTCACTTCTGTACCTCAGGAGTAACGAAAATCAATCCGTGGCTTCTCTCTCCTTCTGCCACACCCGCCCGCCCGCCCGCCCGCCCCCGAGTCGGGATAACTTGGGGAAGCTCCTTGGTATCAGGAAGGTGCTCATTACAAGGAATTCCTGAACTTAAAAGCAACTGTTCGGAGTTACTTTTAAGTCCCTGCTTCCACAAGCCCAGGGCGCACAAAGGCAGGTGGTGTGGGGGGATCTGGCCAAGGGGATCTGACACTTCGCAGGGAACGATCCGCTCTCGCTCTGAAAGTGTGTCTAACGGGGCTGGCCGACCCGGTCGCGAATGATGCCGCGCTGACCCGGGGCGCCCCCGGGCTGCTTTTGGCTTTTCTGCTCGCCGCAACAGCCCTCGGGTTCCATCTACTGGCTATCATTGGGAACCCTTAAAGAGCTCCGGGTGCTAACTGTGCGAGGAGGACACTGCTGCGAGTTAATCGGAGGCTTTGCTATTGCTGCAGCTCTCGGAAAAAGCTGCGCTTGGTTTTGGCCACTAGCCCTTCCGTCCTGTCCTGGCGGGCTGAGGACAGAGCGGAGGGGGGCTTTTCTCTGGGTTCGTTCCCTCGTGGCCGCAACCCACCCAGAGCCGCCCCGTGGGAACACGACCCGCGTGGATGTCGACATGTGCTCACGATCCTGCCTTTCAAAGAGTTGGGGGGGGGGACGCGATCGCCAAGTGCGAAAGTGGCTCGCTCCGACGCCGGGCGGCTCTGCCCCCCCCCATTTTTTAAATTAGTTTTCACAATATTATAAACAGACACACAAGACAAACATAAATCATAGCCTTATTAAAAATTACACTTATTAACTTTGTTCAGTGACTTCCTCGCTTCCCCTTGGTTGAATTTCATTGCATGTCCTTTTAACGGGTTTCCAAATCCCAGTTCTTATGAAATTTAACTGAAACATTAACATCCTTAGATCTTCACCTTATGGAATTAAACATATTCCTGGCTCTGCTTCTCCCTCCTCCGCAGGTGCGAGCCCCTCGGCGCCATGGCCTGCTGCCTCCAGCTCTCGGACCCCAGCGCGCTCAGCTTCCTGCAGGAGACCGCCCAGCTGCTCTCCCCGCCGGAGCCCATGGGCAGGAAGCCAGACAGGCCGGCGGGCCCGGGACGCTCTCGAGCCCTTGGATGCCCTGAGCCTCATCAGCCTGCACTGCGCCAGCCTCGGCGCCAAGCCCGCGGATCGGGGCGAGCGCGCAGAGCCCGGCGCGGGTGCCCGGGAGAGAATCCCCGGTGCCCACGCCAAAGGGCTCCTCGCCCGGCGCCAGCGCGCAATCGGCGCGGAGGCGCAGCGCGAGACGGACGCCTTCCCCGCGACCGAGTCGCCGCGGGCCGGGAGGCGAGTCTCCCGCAAGCAGCCCAGACCCCAGCGGAGCTGCGAGGCCAGGGACGCCGCCTTCCAGGGGGTCACGTTTCGGATGCAGCTGAGCTTCTGCCGAAAGAGCTCCGGGGGTTGTCGGCTCCTCATCCGCCCGCGATACAGCAGGTACAGCCGCCACCCTGGGAAAGAGCAGGTTGCTTTTCTCTTCTGCTTGACTGCAAAAGCAAAGCCGGCATGAGATGTTTCATGAGATGCTTTGCTTTTTCCGCCTCGTCTTTAACTGCCCCTTAGATCCCCAAGAGGGGCATAGATGTACCTCCTGTAGTCTGTTTTCTATGGGCAGTTCCCAGGCCATTTAATGGGAAGACAGGCAGACGTCTTGTGGTAAGGAGGAGGCCTAACGCTGGGGGAGTACTTGCAGGATAGCCAGACCTAAAACACAGGCAGCCTAATACAGTATGTTTGAGGGACGTGGGTGGCGCTGTGGGTTAAACCACAGAGCCTAGGACTTGCCGATCAGAAGGTTGGCAGTTCAAATCCCCACGACGGGGTGAGCTCCCCTTGTTTGGTCCCTGCTCCTGCCAACCTAGCAGTTCGAAAGCACGTCAAAGTGCAAGTAGATAAATAGGTACCGCTCCAGTGGAAGGTAAACGGTGTTTCTGTGCGCTGCTCTGGATCGCCAGAAGCGGCTTAGTCATGCTGGCCACATGTCCCAGAAGCTGTACGCCGGCTCCCTCGGTCAATAAAGCAAGATGAGCGCCACAACCCCAGAGTCGGTCATGACCGGACCTAATGGTCAGGGGTCCTTTTACCTTTTTTAATATGTTTGAAGTTAATGAGTGACCTCCAACCGCATTCATACTCAAGAAGAGATCTAATGAAATCAATGAACTCCAGTCTTCTCTCAGTATGAATAACACTGGAGTCGAAAATGGATTTTTGTTAAATTAAAAAGCACCTAGTATAACAGCACTTTTGTATTTATTGGTTGGATTTCTGAAAGGCAAGGGCAGATTTCCCGCTCAGTTAACAACCAAGGTGAATCTTCTTGGCACAGGATATGTTGACTTAAGATTAAGTTATTAATCTTATTACTATTATAATTATTATTAAGTTATTAGTGCTTGCATGATGTAGTTTTACAAAGGACTTAAATGTATTTAGAAGTCTTTTTTTAACAAAAAAACAGCATGGCAGGGATTGGCCAAATTGGACTGAAAGCATAGCATGGAAGGAAGAGGTGTTTTGCCCCTTAACATCCTGAGAATAAAAGTTCAGAGGAGACAATTTCAAACTAACAACCTATGTCTTCCTGAGTGAAAATATATTGCCTCTTTCTTAGAACACTGGATAAAACAAATTCTATTCAACATGTTGGAAGGGTGATTAATGCTGCTGTATTTTCAACCACGCCTGTGATGTAATTTTGACATGTTCATTTAACACACTATTATACCACTTTAAACAGCCATTGCTTCCCCACAAGGAATCTTGGGAACTGTAATTTGTTAAGGGTGCTGAGAGTTGTTCTCCTCCCTTCTCCTCACAGAACTACAATTTCCAGAGTGGTTTAATAATCAATCCTCTGCCCAGAGATCTGTAGCTCTGTGAGTGGAATATCCCAATCTGGTGATAACAGAATGATGCAAGGAGTGAGCTGCAGCCCAGTATAGGAAAAGAGGTGGTAAGCGAACCCCTAGCTACTTTAAGTGAATTCAGATCTCCAGGGACTGATGAGATGCACCCAAGGGTACTAAAGGAGCTTGCAGGTGTAATCTCAGAGCCTCTGTCTATAATCTTTGAGAATTCTTGGAGAACAGGTGAGGTCCCTGCAGACTGGAGGCGGGCAAATGTTGTCCCCACCTTCAAAAAGGGGAGAAAAGAAGACTCGGGTAACAACCGACCGGTGAGCTTGACATCAATACCAGAAAAGGTCCTAGAAAAATAATTCAGCAGTTAGTCTGTGAACACTTAGAAAATGATGCTGTGGTTACTAAGACCCAGAATGGGTTTCTCAAAAACAAATCATGCCAGACAAGTCTGGTGTGTATGTATGTATGTGTATGTGTGTGTGTGTGTGTGTGTATAGTTGTTGTTGTTGTTGTTGTTGTTGTTTAGTCGTTTAGTTGTGTCCGACTCTTTGTGACCCCATGGACCAGAGCACGCCAGGCACTTCTGTCTTCCACTACCTCCCGCAGTTTGGTCAGACTCATGTTTGTAGCTTCAAAGACACTATCCAACCATCTCGTCCTCTGTTGTCCCCTTCTCCTTGTGCCCTCCATCTTTCCCAACATCAGGGTCTTTTCCAGGGAGTCTTCTCTTCTCATGAGATGGCCAAAGTATTGGAGCCTCAGCTTCACGATCTGTCCTTCCAGTGACTGATTCCAGGGCTGATTTCCTTAAGAGTGTGTGTGTGTGTGTGTGTGTGTGTGTGTGTGTGTGTGTGTGTAAATTACAAGCTGGATGGATCAGGGGAAATGTTGTGGGTGTAGTGTATCTTGATTTCAATAAGGCTTTTCACAAAGTCCCCCACGATACTCTGGCAGAGAAGCTGGCAGAATGTGGGCTGAATGAGGTTACTGTTAGGAGGATTTGTAGCTGGTTGACTGACTGAGCCCAAAGAGTACTCATTAATGGTTCCTCGTCATCCTAGAAAAAGGGACAAGTGGGGTGCCACAGGGCAGTGGCGTAGCATGGGGGGTGCAGGGGGGCCAGCCGCACCGGGCGCAACATCTGGGGGTTAGGCAAATCCACGGATTAGGGGGCGCAAATTACTTGCCTTGCCCCGGGTGCTGACAACCCACGCTACCACCACTGCCACAGGGTTCTGTCCTGGGCGCAACATCTTTATAAAAAACTTGGATGAAGGAATTGAGGGGATGCTCATCCAATTTGCAAACAGAGTGGGGATTTAAAATGACATTAACAGAATGGAGAACTGGGCCAAAACTAACAAAATTAAATTTCAGTTAGAACAAATGTAAGGTTCTACACTTAGGAAGGAAGAACCAGCTGCACAAATATAAGATGGGGGACACCTGGTTTAGGCAAGTGTGAAAGGATCTAGGGGTCTCAGTGGATCAAAAGCTTAGTATGAGTCAACAGTGTGATGCAGCAGCAAAAAAAGATAATGCGATTCTAGCTGCATCAACAGAAGTATAGTGTTTAGATCAAGAGAAGTAATAGTCCAACTCCATTCTGCCTTGGTCAGACCCCACCTGGAATACTGTGTCCAATTCTGGGCACCACAATTTAAGAAGGGATATTGACAAGCTGAAACGTGTGTAGAGGAGGGCAACCAAAATGATCAAGGGACTGAGATCTGATAGTCATCTTCAACTATCTTAAGGACTGTCACATGGAAGATGGAGAAAGGAGATTCCAAATCAACATCAGGAAGAACTTTCTGAAAGTAAGAGCTGTTTGACAGTGGACTAGACTCCTTCATTGGAGGTTTTAAACATCTGTAATGAATGCTTTAGTTGAGATTTGTCCATTACAGGAGGGTAGGACTAAATTACTCTTGGGGTCCCTTCTAAGACTACGATTCTGTGATTCTATGGGAAGGGTAGCTAATGCCACAGAATACAGAATCAGGCTTCAATGTGATTCTAACAGATTGGAGAACTGGGCCCAAACTAAAAAGATGAAATTCAACAGGGACAAACAGGTTCTGCACTTAGGCAGGAAGAACCAACTGCACAAATATAAGCTGAGGGACACCTGACTTGCTAGTAGTACATGTGAAAAGGATCTAGGGGTCTTTGTAGACCACAAACTGGACGTGAGCCAACAATGTGATGCAGCAGCAAAAAAAGCTCATGCTATTCTGCATCAACAGAAGTCTAGTATCCCAATCAAAGGAACTAATAGTACCACTCTATTCTGCCTTGGTCAGATCACACCTGTAATAGTGTGTCAAGTTCTGGGCACCTCAATTTAAGAAGGATATTGACAGGCTGGAACATGTGCAGATGAGGGCAACCAAGATGATCAAGGGTCTGGAAACCAAGCCTTATGAAGGAACAGTTGAGCGAGCCATCTTCAAACAGCTGAAGGGGTGTCTGTCACATGAAAGATGGAGTAAGCTTGTTTTTTGCTTTGGAGGGTAGGACATGAACTAATGGATTCAATGGAAGGACTAAACATCAGGAAGAACTTTCTGATCGTAAGAGCTGTTTGACAGTGGAATGGGTGGACTCTCCTTTCTTGGAGGTTTTTGAGCACTGGTTGGATGGCCATCTGTCATGGATGCTTTAATTGACATTACTTCAGTGCAGGGCATTGGTCTAGATGACCCTTGGGGTTCCTTCCAAGTCCACAATATATGATTCTGTGAATAGGGGTACTCCAATAACTCTCAGCATCCTTTACAATTTTCTGGATTCTTTTGGGAGAAAAGACGCAGTGTGGTGTAATGGTTTGAGTCTTGGGCTAGGACCTGGATTACCCCACAGGGTTGTTGTGAAGATAAAATGGGGGGGGGATGCATGTACGTACATCACCTTGAGCTCCTTGGGGGAAAGTTGAAGTGCAAATGTAATATACAGTATACATATGCCATGATTATGGTATTTAAAGTGGTGTAATAGTGCTTTAAATGTATGGGGCAGAGGGGCCTTAACTCTGAAATATTTTCAGTCAGGGAAAGTAATTATAATTGTAGCTCCATTTCAGGGATGAGTTACATATAACTCTGGAAGCTGCCTATATGTACAACAGGCTTTAAATACCTGGGTTTGATTTTACTACTCCACAGGCTTTCACGTTCATTAATGTTTTCTTTTTAAGCATGTGTTGTATGGTATAAGTCTAGTAACCCTCGCTTATTTTGCTTCTGTCTGTAATGGAAGTGGATTAAGTGGCAAATGATGATTCTAGGAGATGTCACAGGTTTCAAATCCCTCACTCAGCAATGGATTATTTAGAATGATGTTTAGGTGTCCTTGAATGCATGACTCACCTCTCAGCCTCAGTTCCCCAATCATCAAAATGGGAATAAGGTGGCCTGTCCTGGAATGACTGAAGACATGTGAGATGAGGAAAAAAGGTTGTTGGTTCTCTTGAGTCTCAGGAATCACTGCAGAGTGCAAAACTAAGTCAATTAGTTTAGAAATTAGATTTCCGAAGCAGATCTAAAATGCTATACATCTAATCTGTGTTCAGTGGAAAACTTGGGAAAAGAAGCCGAACCCCTTTAGCAAGAGAAGAATGCAGAGCTGGCAGTTCCAAGGAGGAAGAAGGATGTCCCTCTACCCACAGTATGTCAATAATTTAGGCAATAAATACTTGTAGTATCAGCTGGCAATATTTGGGATACTAAGGACAAAAGAAAAGCTTGTTGTGATAATTTTTTCTCCAGGAGAAGTACAGAGTGGGGAGGGTCTTGTCCCACTTGCCAAGCATGTGGTTTTTCTGTAGCAAACCAATGAATGTTGTTGTTTCACCTATTGGTAAGGCTAGTTTTTAAGAAAACAAAAACAAGGGAGGGGGAGAGAAAGAGAGGAAGTAAATGGGTTCCCCTCCCCTATTTCAATGTATGAATTTATTTTTTTTAGAAAGCCATCCATCCCAGAGTCGCTTCATGCCATTAGTGGTTTCTGTACCCACAGGCGTGAAAGGGGGGTTACCTCCCTAAATACTCAGTATGCCTTAACGGTGGGTTGTGCTGAACTAGGTGTAGCCATGTGCAACTTTTCTAAACACTGTGGGGAAAGGCAAGTGAAGCTTGGCTGCTGTAACATCTGAGTCAGTTCTGACCTCTCAGTCTGATCACTACTCAGCTGATCAGAGTAACTTTTATTCACATTTTGAAATGCTGTTCTGGAATCTTTTGATGAAGTAATATTCCAAATAAGGTATGCCAGGCTGTTTGAAATTAATACGCATGAGGGAGGTGCTTTGAACATCCAATAAACATTAAGTATTGTTTATAATAAGATTTGTATTAATCCATTAAATACCACCCAGGGTTGTGGCTTATAAACTGCTATTTGACCCAGTTGCCCTTTGTCTTTAAGGGGATAAGTGCTGTGCTTCTTGCAAGACCAGGAAAACACCACTATGGAGAGATGCTGAAGATGGGACCCCCCTCTGTAATGCTTGTGGCATTAGGTACCTTATGACTGCTGAAATAGCATGGCGTATTTCTTGTTGGTTTCCTTAAAAGGTATGCCCAGCATATCTTCTGGCAGTGCAAAAAGTTTAAAAGATAATACACAACAGCACTGAGTACAACTTGCCATGTAGCCTGAAAAGGCTCTTCTCTGTTATCTGAAGCCTGTGGTGAGATCAACAGATTTAGAAGCGATTGCAGCTCTCCTAGCCACAGCTAGAATTTGCATTGCTAAATACTGGAAATCTGAAGCAATTCATTAGTTGAAAGATGGGCTGGAGAAGACACAGCAAGTGTTAACATGCATTCAGATGACATGCTAAATCACATAAGCCAGAAACCAACATGAGCATAAGTTCTTAGAGTATTGGGTGCTGTGTGATTGTGGAATGAAGGAGTTGAGGACAATACCTTTACAGCTTATCCTCAGTGATCTGACTCATAGATACTCTTTCTTATTCTTCCCCTCATTTGTGGCATCTGCTAGTATTATTTTAATATTCCAATAGGCTAAGATACTTACCTGTGTAATGGTGTCTAATGAACTCTGCCATTCTTCTCTCCATTTATTTTTGATTTTTCACTATATAGGCACCCCCCTCAAAAAAAGCGATGATGAGACAAAAGCGATGATCTGAACTGCATGGCAATATTAAAGCATTTATCTGAGCTTTTTTTTTTTTTAAAGAATAAAGTCATACCCAACTTTTCACCACAAATTTTTAAAAGCTACAATGGTCAAAATTTTATATATTGAAGAGTAACACATTAGAACAGTATGTATTGTGCAAGAGCATCCTGAAATAAAACAACTTAACCTGTTTGTTCAAGGCTTATTCATCTAAAAGGGTCTAACAGTTACCACTGTACAGAAACAAGCTGTAACAAATTAAGGTCGTCAAACCTTAACAAACAAACAAAGGTCGGCAGTTCGAATCCCCGCGACGGGGTGAGCTCCCGTTGTTCGGTCCCAGCTCCTGCCCACCTAGCAGTTCGAAAGCACGTCAAGTGCAAGTAGATAAATAGGTACCGTTCCAGGCGGGAAGGTAAATGGTGTTTCTATGCGCTGCTCTGGTTCGCCAGAAGCGGCTTAGTCATGCTGGCCACATGACCCGGAAGCTGTCTGCGGACAAACGCTGGCTCCCTTGGCCTATAGAGCAAGATGAGCGCACAACCCCACAGTCATCCGTGACTGGATCTGGGGTCCCTTTACCTTTACAGTATATAACAGGCCACAGCACTTGAGGCCATTGCAGTCTGTGTGCCACGCTCAGTGAAGCCCCAACACTATGCTGATTGACCTTTATCATATGCCACCATCACCTTTCATTCCTATATCCTGGCATCTGGGATCCTAAGCCTGATGTTTCACCTGACACCCCTCTGAAAGATGATGCATCTCCGCTTTCATGCCATTTGGAATTAACTGGGAGATTAAGTTGCGTGGGGGGGGGGGGAGAAGGTTACTACAGTCAGACCTAAATGAATGGAATGACCTGCCACATGACTTAATCAACTCTGTTTTTGACCTTCAGGTACAAAAAGTACAGAATCCGGTGTTTTCAGTGCTGGAATATTCCAAAGCATGGTGGGAATCCCTTTTCTCATTGTTCCAGTTGTGGACGCAGGCTGCATTTAGTTGCTGCCCAGGAGAAATCTCGGAAAAGGTAAGGGGGCAGGCGGTTGGAGAAGCAGCTTCTAAAACACACCAGCCCTTCACCGGCAGGAAGAAAACACAGCTGCTGCCAACCTAAGGGCTCTCTTTTCTTTCCGTTTCTAGATGTGGAAGCTTTCTAAGGGTTTGCAGTTAGCTGGATATCAAAACAGCTCTTGGGAAATCTGGCTGACTTGTCGGAAGGGTCTGGCTGAACAGCCTAGTAGATTGGTCATTAGGAGGTTCAGTGGATGAAGGGCTCTTCTTTGTTTGTCTTTGTCTTTTGTTTGTACGCTGCTTTTGTTTTTGAAGTCAGTGCTATGTGTCGTATGTTGGGTGTTTGTTTGCAGTGTGTGGGAGGAGGCAGGAAAGAAGGGGATGTTTTTTGCAAGGAAAAAAGTGTTTGTTTCCATTAACTTCCATAAGCAATTGGGGCTACATGCTGGAACAGAATGCAACGTTCCCATTGAGGATGGACATATTGAAATTGCTTTCAGGCAGTGATTCCCACCCAACCTTTTAGCACTTTGGGTTGCTGCCTCCTTGTTAATAGTTCTTTGTAGCGATGGACTGGAAAGTACAAAGAAACATTTCCACAAAGTACAAACTTTGGGAACAGCAGTCATTGAGCAGTTGTGGTGGGGGAGGGAGTTTGTTTAAAAGACATGAAATGAAGCTCCTTCATGAATTCCTGATGATTTTCTATTGCACTAAATATGGCAAGTGTAAATATATAATATTTATGATACAAAATATTTATATACTTGATTCAAATATTTGTTAGGGATGCTGATGAATATCCTTTGTTAGTAAAACACGCAGCATTGCTGAATGTGTCTCAGAAAGTGTGTCCAACCAGGATTGTGCCATGTGGCACTTTTCAAAGTGGTATTTATTTTTGTAAATAGTGTTTATATTTGAGGTATTTGTTTTCTGTATTCTCCCTTACATAGCACAGCCAAAAGAAAATGAAAATAAAACATGTTGTGAAATTGAAAGCAATTACTCTGATTTTCCTGTAATATTTTGCTTACTATCCCAAGTCAAGGTTTTGTTCAAGAGTACTGAGCTTCTTGATTGTTATTTTGCTGGTTATAAGCTTCTGCAATAAATATCATTTATTGTAACTAAGTGTAGGAAATTCTTTTAACTCCTAATTTTTCAGTCAAACTTGGAATAAAGCTTTGAGGGGAAGGGAAGCAGGAAAAGTAGCCTGAGAAATACACAATTGAATTTAGGTGTGGTTAGGCAATTACTGTACAAAGGGACACGGGTGGTGCTCTGGGTAAAAGCCTCAGTGCCTAGGGCTTGCTGATCGAAAGGTCGGCGGTTCGAATCCCCGCGGCGGGGTGCGCTCCCGTTGTTCGGTCCCAGCGCCTGCCAACCTAGCAGTTCGAAAGCACCCCTAAGTGCAAGTAGATAAATAGGCACCGGAAGTGTCTCTGGACAGCGCTGGCCCCCGGCCTCTTGAGTGAGATGGGCGCACAACCCTAGAGTCTGTCAAGACTGGCCCGTACGAGCAGGGGTACCTTTACCTTTACCTTAGGCAATTACTGTACTACTTTGTAGTCCTTATTATAACAGTAGAGGAAACCTACAAAACAGGAGCTCATGATGTGCTTAGGGTTTTGATGGTGGCTAGCTGTTTTCTAAGCAGAGACCTTGGCCTCTAGTAAAATGGTAGAAAATTCCACAAGAGACCTTGGGAAACGATCTGGACCCAACAAGCCTTACAGGGCAAACCCCTGAAACTGATCCATGCTACTCCTCCCCACCCCTGCAAGTGCCCTAAAGGTCCAACTGAATTGGATAACAAGCTGCCTCTGACAACAGAGCCATCATTAATTCCCTTCTCTTTCCACCTCCCTACCCCAGTACAGAAAGCCAGATCCAGTATGTGTCCTGCCAAATGCACATTGGCCTGATGCAGTTTGACAGAGAACCATGGTTGTCATAGCAGACATAAGAAACCAAGCTGCCACAGACAAGACTAACTTGGTGGGTATGTACAAGTTACCCAATACAGTGGTACCTCGGGTTAAGAACTTAATTCATTCCGGAGGTCTGTTCTTAACCTGAAACTGTTCTTAACCTGAGGTACCACTTTAGCTAATGGGGCCTCCCACTGCTGCTGCCGTGCGATTTCTGTTCTCATCCTGAAGCAAAGTTCTTAACCTGAAGTACTATTTCTGGGTTAGTGGAGTCTGTAACCTGAAGCATCTGTAACCCGAGGTACCACTGTACCAAAAGCCTTTTAAGGTCTTCAGTGACACATCTGAGGCATGGATTAATATTTTTGCCCATTGATTCATATATATAGCTTCCAACCCTTTGATAAATGCTATCCCAAAGTGCATAATTTCCATAGTTCTCTTCATAAATGCCCAAGAGGCATTGTCAAATGCTTTTTCAATATCCAGAAATATTAAGATAGCCTCTTTTTCATTTTTCTTTTCTAAGAGTTCGATAATATTCAATACATTTTGAGTGTTATTTCTTAATTGTTTTGTCGGTAAGCAGCCTATCTGCTCTTCATGTATATAAGTTTTAAAAATCATTCTCTGTTCAATCCAGTTTGTCCTTATCTCCTGCCTCTTTCATTCAAAGTTTCCTGGGAATTTCCCATCAATTTGCCATCACTATCTGTTTTAATTGTTTTTCTTCTACACCTTTATTGTTACTGCTTTTTTGGGTTTTATTCAGAGATCCTTTCTTCCACCTCGCTTTGACCTGTGGCTGTTTTCTTCACTCTGCTGTACACCTACTATAATCAGGCTCAAGGGTATTTGGATATTCCTTAGATCTGCTGGTATTATAATACCTTCTCCCCGCCCCTTTTCCCCCTTGCCACGTTCGCACTTTACAGTCTGTTCTTCCTTCGCTTGTTTTTTCAAGTTCCACCACTCACATTATTGTTGTCGTTCTTGTTCTTGTTATTTATTAATTTGTGTACTGCCCTTCATCTGTAGATCTAAGGGCGGTTTGCAACATAAAAATACAAGATAAAAACCACACACAATACATAATAAAAACAAGGACAAAAACAAACCAACAATTGCTCCCCCAAACACATTTAAAAGGGTGCATCACACTGTTGACTCTTGTTAAGCTTGTCAGGTACTGCCAATAAGCCAGGTGTCCCCCATATTATATTTGTGCAGCTGGTTCTTCTTTCCTAAGTGTAGAACCTTTTAGCCTTGTTGTAGTTCAGCATGGGCTCTTAAATTTATCTCCTTGAAATCTATGGAAGTAAGAAATGCTTAACTTTGGCTGATGTCAGTTTTTTACTTGTACAAGGTATGTGAGAGAGCAAGTGAGTGTCTGTGAGGTACAGTGGAACCTCGGTTTTCGAGTGTCTCGGAAGCTGAACGTTTCAGTTTTCGAACGCCGAAAACCCGGAAGTAAATGCTTCCGTTTTCGAACACACCTCACAAGTTGAACAGCTTCTGCTGCGTGTTTTTCAATTTTCTTAATTGAACCTTCAGCCAGCCCTTTGCACCTCAGTTTTCGAACATTTCAAAAGTCGAACAGTCTTCCGGAATGGATTACCTTCAAAAACCGAGGTACCACTATATTTAGTTTAGGCTGGGATAGTCAACATGGTGCCTTCAAAACTCCCATTAGACCCAGCCAGCACAGCCATTGTTCAGGGATGATGGGAGCTGGATTCCAACATCATCTGGAGGGCACCATCTTAGCTATTCCTAGTTCAGGGGAATTTAGATTATTGTTGTCTGCTGCCTTCTATGAAACTGCTTTATATTAAGTCGGACTATTAGCTCACAATGCTCACTAATTATATTCACCGCCTGACAGCTGCTCTCTAGCATTTCAGAGTGGAGTCTTTCCTCTTATATTTGGAGTTATCAGGAATGGAATCTGGAACATTTTGCATGCAAAATATATGTTTTATTGCTGCATGACAGCTGTTCCTTCATTATTGTCCCAGAGAGGTAGAATACAATCTTCCACAAGTGGTGGACATGTAAAAAGGTAAAAGTGTATTGGGAAATGATTTATGATGAATTGGGAAAAAATGTTCAAAACTACTATCCCACAAAAACCAGAGTCCTTTTTGTTGGGGATAATCCATTCTGAAATTCCCAGGTGTTGAAAAAAATTATTTATGTGTGCAACAACTACAGATCATGTTTTATTAGCCCCCAAATGGAAAGTGAGCGAGGTCCCAACTAAAGAGGATTGACAACTTAAATTGACAGAATATGCACAACTTGCAGATTTAACATATAGAATAAGAGAGCAAGAAGAACATATATTTCAAGAAGACTGGAAAACATTTATTTAATATATGGAAAAAAACTGTATACATCTGAAAACGCTGGCAGCATGAAGATAAATTCAACAGAGTAAATAATTTTTGATGGGTGGAAAAGTGGAAAACTGATCTGAATGGTTACAGTAAAATATGCCAGGATGTAGGATACGTAGAATGAACCATGGAAAGAGAAGAAGGGAAATCGCTGGATATTTTAAAGTTTGTAAAATGTTTATTTGAAATTGAAAAACTGAAAATTTAATAAAAATTATTATAAAATAAGAAGAGAGGTGGAATACAAATATTTGAATGAATGAGCGTACGTTGAACTGAATCGGATTCAGTACATCATAGCTGATACAGTGGCAACATGAGATACCTGTTAACCAACCTCTCACGATGACTGTTGAAAAAAGACCCTCTTCCCCAGGAGACCCCATAGAGCTTCCTTGACATCTTTGTTCCTGAGGCTGTAGATGTAAGGGTTGGACATTGGGGTGATGACAGTGTACACCACAGCAAAGACAGCCCCTCGATGCGATGAGTAGCTGGATGTTGGCAGAAAGTAGGCAGCAATGATAGCTCCATAGAAGAGGGTCACCATGGTGAGGTGGGAGCCACAGGTGGAGAAAGCTTTGCGCCTCCCCGATGAAGATAACTTCATCACAGCTACCACAATGCGGACGTAGGTGAGGAAGATTAATACACAAGGTCCAAGAAGGATGACGGAACCTTCAAAGAAGATGAGGGCTTCATTGATGCTGGTGTCTGAGCAGGACAGCTGCAGGAGAGGCTGATGGTCACAAAAGTAATGGAACAAGTGGTTGTCCCCACGATAACTGAGACGCAGGAGGAGGCTGGCATGGAGCATGGAGTGGAGGGTAGAAACAATCCAGCAGCCAGCGACCAGGTGTCCACAGACCTTCTGGTTCATTACCGTAGTGTAGTGTAGTGGATTGCAAATTGCAACATAGCGATCCAGAGCCATGACGCTCACTATCAGAAGGTCAGTCACACCAAACACACAGAAGAAGAAGAACTGAGCCATGCAGCAGTAGAAAGGGATAGTCTTGGAAGTGGAGATGATGTGAGCCAACATCTGAGGCACAGTGACTGATAGGAAGCCCACATCCACCACTGAGAGGCTCTGAAGCAAGAAATACATGGGAGTCTGGAGTCGGGCATCCAGAGAGATGAGAATGATCATCATGATGTTGCCCAGAAGTCCTGCTCCATACATCAGCAGAAAGATCATGAACAAGAGTGGCTGCTCTTTAGGCTGGGTGGAAAAACCCAGAAGGACAAACTCAACGATGTCTGTGCCATTCTCACAGTCCATAGGACCTGCAGAGAGAAACACACCACACAGCTGGCATGAGCCAAAGGGCTTCATAGCATAACTACCTGTGTAGTAATTGCACGGGCTATCCACCCCCCCAACCAGTCCTCCAAACACTCTCAAGACCTGGCAGGGAGAGGGAGAGGTTGTGAGGTGTTGCAAATCACAAGCCAAACTGTAAGCTGCCACTACCTCCTTTCCTGGGCACCCTCAAATGGGGTCCAAGGAGGAGAACCCCCCTTTGATATTTACCGGGTTGCCCAGTCCTGTGTCACTGTACCGTGACACAGACAGAAATCCAACAGGTAGATGTACCAAGGGGTCAGGCACCAGTTTAGCTTCTCTGGGCAAAAGACACAAAAGGTAAAAGTCCTTTCCAAGTTTATTGAAAAAGCCACTCAGAAAGTAAAAGCTTGCACATTTCTTGGAAGGTTACAAACAGAAAATAAAAAACATTATAAAATATAGCTAACTAAAACATACTCACAAAATCCAATAGTTCAAAGCACAGCGAGTAGTCAAAATCTCTTTCCTGGTCAAACGCCTTCTGGCAACAAGCGCCAGGGCAAGATGTTCTGCAGTTTTCATCTAAATTCCCCAAAGCTTTATCCTTGAGAATCCCACATGGAGAAGG